GACGCTCTATCACTGAGCCAAACCAGTTAGGGTTCTCCTAGCTTTTACAACAAAACAGATCAATAGTCGGGAAGAAAATTCCTCACAATTCCACTAACCTAGCACATTTAAAAAAATTAATGTAATTATTTTAATTTTTCTTGTTTTTCTTTTAAGGTTTATTTGTATATCATTCATGTCTTTAAATAGATGGAATTAAAGTATACATGCAATTAAAGATTCTGCTTTTTTAAAAAAATCCTCACCTGCGGACATGCTTATTGATTAATTTTAGAGAGAAGGTAAAGGGAGGGGAGAGAGAGAGAGAGAGAGAGAGTGGGAGAGAAAATCGGTCAGTTGCCTCCCGTATGCACCTAGATCAGGGATCAACCTGAAATCTTTCAGCATTATGGAATGACACACCAACCGAGCCATACCAGCCATGGCAGGATTCTGCATTTTTTTATGTCACATAATATCAATATCTCCCCCAACATTAGTTACATAGTCTTTATGATCATTAAAATCAATCTCATTAAAACAATCATCATTAGAAAAAAAGTAATTACTATATATCACTGGACCAAGAATGTTAGTTCTATGGCCTGGAATAATGTAATTCCTTTAGACCTAAGATTATTACTATTAATTAATTAGGAGTTGTACAAGATTCCCTCCCTCCTTCCTTCCTTTCTTTCAAGATTTTCTTTAAGATCCTTGCCAGCTCTTATGAAACGAAGGGTTAATTTTCTTGATTTGATATTGACTTCACTGCCATAAATTTATTTAGTATTAAATCCCCCCTTTTTTTTCCTTGCAAAATCTGTTCAGATATTGTCCAAACTATATTGTTTAATGATGAACAATGATGAAGTGACAGGACCCTTGTGTTAAGAAAAAAAATTGTTTCTCAATTACCAGGAATTTTGCCAGATACATTTACTATCATTTCCTTCCAAGCTTAAGTGGTAATATAAGGCATGAGTCCTAGAGATTACAAGGAAATAAAGACAAGCAGCTTTAGGAAGGAATTACCAAAGTACCGGGGAAGGTAAAATATAAGGACCAATGGCCATCATGGCTCAAAGCAAAGCAATTTAAAATTCAGATAATCTCTATGAAATGCGTAGTGAATCCTGTGCAACTGATACCATGGTATCTGACTTACAAGAGATTTATAATTGCTATATGACAACCCTATTAAATGTTCAGTCATCAATTCCTCTCATGCGTCACAGTCCAGAGAGAATGTGAGTAACTCATCATTTGCAGTCTAACGATGTATTTGTGTTTACTCTGGAGTTTGAATATGCCTAAACTCCAGTTTTGAATCTAAATAACTTACAAAAAAGAATAATTACAATATTATATTTGTTTCCAGCCAAAATCAACATTTTAAGTCAACCAAGAGCAGCACTTTAGATAACTGGAGAAATACGTTGGAGACAAAGCTTTAATTGTATTATTCTAGTACCTTGGGTCTTTTTCTGTGTAAAAACGTTCATTACGTTTGTTTTCACCAAAAGTGGCTCGATACACATCATGACAGCGAAGGTTCCTCTGGAAGGTATAGAATAAAACATCCTCATCTTCTTCATCCTTTACCCATTCTGGGGAAAAAATATTAAAGAATTATACATAGCCAACTACTTACAGTTTTATAAAAAAGGCATAGACCTAGCCAGTTTGGTTCGGTGGATAGAGCGTCGGCCTGCGGACTGAAGGGTCCCAAGTTTGATTCCGGTCAAGGGCACATCCCCGGGTTGTGGGCTCGATCCCCAGTGGGGGGCGTGAAGGAGGCAGCCAATCAATGATTCTCTCTCATCATTGATGTTTCTATCTCTCTCTCCCTCTTCCTTCCTCTCTGAAAACAAAAATATTAAAAAATAAAATAATGTTTTAAAAAAAAGGCACAGTGCATTCTAAGTTTGAGTGCCAAAGAAAAGAGATGTGTAAGTTTATCCCTGGAAATCTAAATCTAACATAGATTCAACTGTATATAACCTGTGTTATATAAACCTAAGAGCTTTCCAGAGAATAAAATATTATACTACATCAATTCTAAGTTTTCAAGTTGTTATCAGTCTCAGGACACTAAAGTTTCTAAATAGGAGAGGAATGTTCAATATTTAGGGAAGACTTTGGTAAAGTCATTATTTGTTTTCAGGAGATAAATTATGTTTAAATCTAAAACCTCTAACTTTAAGTATGAGGAAATATTAGGTCATTTTCTCTCATGCCTAAATGTTTTCTGTCTGCTTTCAAGCCACATGATATCTCAGACTACCAGATATACTTTAAAGCTGGGGTTTTCTTGATCTTACCAGAAGCTGTCAGTGGAAGTTTTCACAAAATGACATCATGACTGCCACCTGGCTGACAGTTACTGTAAGGCAGCAGGGTATAATATGCATCCTGATTTTAAGAGAGGTTAAAATGTACCAAATTTATGTATTAGGATCAATTCATTGCAAAAGCATGTAGTTATGAAACAATGCGGAAATTTATGACGGAAAATGAAAAAGGAGGATAAGGTATAGACACGTATTACTCAATGATCAATGATAACATTTAAAGTTGGTTCTATTAGTAAAAATATCACAACTCTACTGATGAAAAAGTTAGTTCGACGACATGTTCTCAAGTTTCTCTTGGTAGTGACCTTGGGTAATTTGCTATCAAATATATAATTAAAGAAGGGGCAGTCCCTTGAATAAGAGGCACATAGTCAGGTGTGGAGACCACGGGGTAAACAAATCAGGCACTCACTTTCTCATTCACTCTCCTGGGCAAATAAAATGTTTCAAAAGTGTGAACAATTCTCTATGGTTGCTTTGTCAAATAGAAGACTGTTGTGGTTGGTGGCTTACCAAAACTGGACACATTGGGGAAAGAAGCTTCCATGACAGGCTGGTCACTGAGCTTCACAACTATACAGGTAGATGCTTCCGAATCTTCCGTTCTGATCTTGGCAGCTACATATTTTTCATCAGGAGCCACTCTGATACAATCAATGAAGGGCTGGTCTAATTTAAGTTCCTCCAAATTGAACAAAACCTCATAATTATCACTGTCTGCTGCATAAAGAAAAGGATGAAAGAGATAATGCCACAGATGTACTTAAAAATACTTTAAACTGTATGTCAATGTCAAATTAGCATTCCTCTGCCTGGCTGGGTGGCTCAGCTGGTTGAGCATTGTCCTGTGTCCCAAAAATGGTTTTGGGTTTGATTCCCGGTCAGGGCAAATGCAGGAGGCAACCCTTTCTCTCTCTCTCTCCCTTCCTCTCTGTCAAATCAATAAAAGTATCCTCAGGTGAGGAGATAGAAAATTAAAAAAATTAAATCAGCATCCCTCTTCTGTAAGAAGCTATATTCTGGCTTCCTGCAGCATTAATGGCAGCTTGTTTTGCACAGAAACTGGCATTAGTTATTTAATATTATCCTATGCTAGTCCATATCATACCATGCATCAACTTATGTGATATTATTCAATACCATTATAGCCTAGTGTTTAGAGACCATATAGAACATGCCGTAGTTTGCCCACGGCTGATATAGAACCTAGAAAGACAATGTAAATGACATTGACTAATCGTACCTTGTACAGTACCTGGGATTCAGCAGATGCTCAAAAAATGCTGGTTCCTATCTCCATTCTTCCTATCAAAGCTTTGAGTGTGGCTGTAAACTATATCTTAAACAAACCCAGATATTAAAAACTAGCCATTTAATAAAAATTCAGAAATAATCTAAAAAAATTTTCTATGCCTTTGAGAATTAATACCAAATTTCCTATGAAAAATGTGAAATCTGAAAAATGAGAGTATGCTAGAAGGAAAAATTGTGGTATACCTTCTTCATCTTTTGAACGCACCAAGCAGCAACCTTCTTGGTAGTAAACAAAACCTCCATGTTTAACCTGACGATAAAAAGAAATAAATAGTTTATTTAATAATAATACATAATAAATAATTTAACGATTTAAGCATGATTGAATTTAACTGTTTAATGTTCTAACTAGTCAAGATGAAGAAATGGGATCTTTCATAAAAGCATGTTGAAGTTTATAGATGAACACATAAAAACTATAAAATGGATCACTTTTTACAACACAGTGGTTAAGAAATGGTTTTCAAGTGTCCACAATCACTGAAGGAATTTCTTATACACAAATGAAAGGGGCAACAAAGAGAAGAAATATTGCAATCTATGTTGGTTCTCATGACTGTACAAAGCACTTTAGTTGTATTTTGGGAACATCTAACATCTCTACAGTGGGGTGCCATTAACAGAGATCAAGGGGCATCTTTAAGATAATCCAGAATGATGTAGGTGAGAAAACTGTGGCTCAGATTGGGCTGAAAACCCAGTCAATAACTTTCTGAGATTCTTTCCTCTCAAATATGCTGTCACCACCAACTGTTCATGGTCTTGATTTTACACAAAGCATCTTATCCTCTGTGGGTGACAGATAGAGACATTCTGAAACTGAGAGAATGAATAGTGCTCATGTGTAATACCTATATATTGAATGCAACTGATTGTGGTAACCATAAAATAGTCAAACAAATATTTGACTTCCATACAACACGACTTAGAGTGAATTTCTTTTCATTAAAAAAAGTGTAGATAGGCAATCAAATACTTTTCTAATAAGAAAGAAATATGACTCAGTTTCATTTGAACTTACATTTGGAATTACTTTAAAAAATTTTAAACAGAATTGGTTTTTTCCAAAAACTAGAATTAACAAAATGTGCTTGAAAATTCACTTCGGTTTTGACATTTATAATTTACATTAAGGATCACACTATACTTATTTGTTGTTCTTTAAGTTTTTAAGCATATTTTAAAGGCCAAAAGCAGTCTACTTCTTATGTGGGATTATGCCTATAAATCACAAGGTAGTTAGTTCGTTTACATCCTGACTGGTAATATCAGAGTTTAAAAAAAATTCATAAATATCCTACCTCTGCATTGATGATTTCATATTCTTCTTGTGGCTGTGTTTCTAATTTTGTTCTCACTTTTTCAAATGCATCCATGTTTTCTGAAAGGGGTTTTTCGTTTTCTTGTTTAATAGGCAGAATATCCTGGAAAAAGTTTTATTGGTATGATCATAATATTTCAAACTAGGGAAAAATACCTTGGCTTTTAAAATATATTTCTTAATTCCTTTTCATGCAAGTACTACAATATTAGGTCTTTACCTATGAAATAGTATGCATTTCACAGATCTTAAATGTCGTTTCTCAAGCTCAATAAATGATCTCCTCTTTTTCATTTAAAAATGTAAACAAAGACAATGAAGTGGATACTTGTAGCTAAACTATTAATTTAAATGGATAAAACCTTAAGATGCAGAATTACTAAGAAGCACTGGAGAATGTTCAGCAATACTATGGGAAAGGTTTATAGAAAATTAAGCAGTACAGGAAATCCTATGAACATTTACATATTTAATTATCAGGACTTGGAGGTACAAAAAAAAGTCTACTGAGTTTTATACAGTAATAAAATAATACCTCCTGCCTGGCCAGGGTGGCTCAGTGGTTGAGCATCGGCCCATGAACCAGGAGGTCACGGTTCGATTCCCGGTCAGGGCACATGCCTGGGTTGCTGACTTGATCCCCAGTGGGGGGTGTGTAGGAGGCAGCCAATCAATTATTGTCTCTCATCATTGATGTTTTTCTCTCTACTCTCCCTTCCTCTGAAATCAATTAAAAAAAATTTAAAAATAAAATAAAATACCTCCTTAAAGGAGTGATATATTGATGGGAGAGGAAGACATCATTTTTATTAATAAATGTACACTCTTTATTCATAGCAAGAATTACGGTAAAAAATTAGTCCTACATTGTATCTTCATTAGCCATCATTTTCTTTTCTCATGGGGATAAGAAGTCCCCCAAATAGAACTGTTCATCAGATCAAAAAATGAATTAATCCTTTATAAAACAGAGCTTTTCTTTGAGTTTAAGTAAAAAATAATATATTCACCATATAAAAGGAAGAACAAGAGAAAGTAATGGAAAATTAATGAACGTGAATAGAGATACCAATGAAAGCTAAATTAAGCACTCTATTTTACTGGGAGTATCTAATAAGCTATGAGCTTTAGTTGACCTCTGATTAGCACACAAATACCATATAAAGTATTAAAATTTATATAAGGTAAAACCTCAGTTGTTAGAAAAGAGTTCAATAATTTAACACTCATAGGTTTGCCTTAAGCAAAAGAATTCTAGCTAAGATTTTCAATGTCAACTTCCTGCCAATGATGACAACTGTACAGTGATTTGTGCCAGAGGGGTATTAAGCCTTTGGTAAGGACCTCCAACAGCTGGTAAATATTTATTGCACAAGTGTGTCCATGGTACTTTACCAACACTTTAGAAAATGTAGGCTATAAATATAGTTTATATCATAAAGCGTTTACAATCTAAAATTAAACATGCAACTAAAATAGAAAACATTAAATGGAAAAAAAATCATTTTCACAAAGTTTTTCCTTTAGAATTTTTGAGATGCTTTTGATTGGGATTAGATTCAAATTAGCAACAATGGTTGTTGTGGTAGTCTAAATCATTCAGTCTCTATTTCAATCTTATAATTATTATCCTTGAGTAATTATGTGAAGTCCAAAAGCTGGAGGCTTTTTTTCACTGTTTATTTTTCATTTATATTTTTTGCATTTTTACAAAATCTAGAGTCAATCTTTTAGAGCTGTGAGGCAAAATACCTGTATCGATAATGTCCTACTATCATCTGAAACACAAATCAGAAGATCACTAGAAATCTCTCCTGAAACTATAACTTAGCACTAGGATCTGCCTTTTCATTTCCAGATACATGCTTATCTGATCCATAATTCCTGTTAGAACTTTTAAAGTCGTCAGCAGGGAAGAGTAAAAAGTAGGCTTAGGACATCTGCCAGAAAGCAAGGAAATGCTCAAAGATTAATGGAGACTTGTCAGAAGGAGACAAGGGCCAGTGTGAAGGGGTTCCCAGTAGCCACAATGACAATTTGAGCATCAAAAAGAATAATGACTATAACTGAGTATAATACACTGAAAAAATTCACAATAACTTGAAAACAAGCAAAAAAAAACCTCCCCACTAAACTAAAATAAAAAGAGGGTACAACAAAAAAGGAAGCTCTTCTTTACGACATCATACAAGCTAATAAATGTAGAAAGAATAATAGAATTAGAAAATCATTAACAAACCCCAGTGAAAGAACTGATTAGGGTAAAGATCATTAGTGGTTGTTAAACTCATTAGGTGAAATTATGTTGCGTAATACAATATTTGCACAGTACCGAAGTATTACCCTACTGATTACTTAGTATTGCAAAGGGAATATTGCTCATTTAACAATGGAGAGAACAAGGATTTATCTCCCTAACCAAAATGATCTAGCATAGATAGCATCATTAATAGTGGGACAATATGACATTATGTATCTGCAGATACAAAGCATTTCAATTTAAGAAGGAAAAAGAGAAGAGTAAACCTAAAGGGAGTAGAAGAAAAGAAATAAAATTAATTTGTTTAATGAAACTGATGAAAGTAAAGAGAGGATCAACAAAACATAAAATTGGTTCTTTGAAAAATGTATTAAAAAGACATGTATAGCAACGGTGACTTAAAAAAGACAACGAATATTAGGAATGAAAACATAGTACAATTAGAGATATAATAGATTTTAAAAATCACAAAGTTCTTTATGCCACTACATTTTAAAACATAGATAAAATGCCTACTTTCATAGGTAGCTTTCTTGAATCTTCAAGGAACAGATAATCTTTTCATATGTCAACCACTATTTAAGAAAAAAATGCCTACTACTTAAAACTACTCAACTAATTTTATCAGGCTAATATAACCTTGAAACTAAAACTGGACAATCACAATATATGACAAAAATCATTCTTATAAAATGTAGATTTAAAAATATAAAATAAATCAATGTATTTTTAAAAAGCACAAAACATGCCCAAGCTAGTTTGGGTCAGTGGATAGAGTGTTGGTCTGCGGACTGAAGGGTCACGGGTTCGATTCTGGTCAAGAGCACATGCCTGGGTTGTGGCTCAATCCCCTGTAGGTGACATGCAGGAGGCAGCCAATCAATGACTCTCTCTCATCATTGATGTTTCTATCTTTCCCTCTGCCTTCCTCTCTGAAATCAATAAAAAATATTTTTTAAATAAATAAATAGCACAAAACAAAAACAGTAACAGTAATGAAACTGTGAGTGACCAAGGATTTATCTTAAGAGTAAAAGGATAATTCAAAATTAGAAAAATGTATCAATGTAATCTAACACAGATAAAGGAGATACATCTTAGAGCAATTTCAATTAAAACAGGGGGAAAAAACCTCCACATCTTAAAAAATAATAAAACCTTAAGTTAGGAATAGGGAGGAACTCCCCTGACTTGATAAATGATCTCCCTGTTGTTTGAAACAGGACCATAGCAAATCTGTAATTAACAAACCCACAGTATATTCACATTAGTACACATTTTTATTTTACTGTTTTTAGAGAGAGGAAGGAAGAGAGAGAGAGAAACATCAATCAGTTGCCTCCTGCACATGCTCCAGCTGGGGATCGAACCCTCAACCAGGACATGTGCCCTGACCTGGAATGGAACTTGCAACCCCTTGTGTACAGGATAATGGCCCAACCAACTGAGCCACACCGGTGGGGCAGTACACAGCTTATTTAGTATCTGTGAAATACTTTTCAAGAATCTTCATTATATTCATTTAAAATATCTAGTTATATTTGCTGTTTATTTTGTTATTCAAAAGTGATTGTTAAAATGAAAGTAATTGTTTCCTTTGCTCCCTGGCCCCAATTCCTCTCTTCCCCCTTCTCTGGAGTCCAATAAGATTTCTGCCCTTCTCATTCTTTGCTTTGTCTTGTCAAAATCAATGATGACCCATTGCAGTCCCAGTACTACAAAGAAAGGACACATGTTAATTCTAGGTATTTACACTATTTGAGTTATCAGTATCGTGGCACAGCTGAACACTCCCTTCTCTTAACACTTTTCTTCACTTGGCTCCCAGGACACCTCATTCTCATTGTTTTGCGCCTATTTCACTGCCCTATTTGTCTCTGTAGCTGGTTCCTACTCAACTCTCTGGCTTAACATTGGCACTCCCTGGGCTACAGTTTGCACTAATTCTCTTGGTGATCTCATCTAGCCTCATGACCTTAAATGCTATTTATATGCTGAGGCCT